TAGCATTCTCAGGGACTGATTCCATTTAAGCAGGGTAACTACTAGAAATCTTGGGGTTCCATGCTAAAACATGAGCTAAGAAGATCCAAAGCCAATTTGCCACTTAATGTAAAATCCCACCAGTCATCTATCAGTTTTTTGTACTGCGGTGGCCTGCATGTTGCTATGATGCTGGAGAATATGCCCCCAGCATTTCAAATAGCAACAGGATCAGCCATGGTGGACATGTTTCAGTGGAGATTCCAGACTAAGACAGACTGGGAAGAAGGACAGGGCCAACCACTTCTGAAAAAATTGGCCACTGAAAACCTTATGAATAGCAGTGAAAAAGTGTCTGATATATTACTGGAAAAGTTTATGAATAGTAGTAAAACACTGTCTGATATAGTGCCAGAAGATGAGTCACTCAGATTGGGAGGCACTCAAAATACAACTGCAGAAGAGCTGCCTCCTCAAAGTAGAGTAAACCTTAATGACGTGGATGGAGTAAAGCTTTCAGGACCTCCATTGCTGATGGGGCACGACTCAAAATGGGAAGAAACAGTTGTAAACTTCATTAATAAACAGAATATGAAATGTATGAGGTATGAATCTAGGAAAACAGGAAGTTGTCGAAAATGAAATGGAACACATAAAGATTGATATCCTAGGCTTTAGTGAGCTGATATGGGCTGGTATTGACCATTTTCAATCAGATAATCACATGGTCTATACTATGCTGGGAATGACAAACTGGAGAGGAATGGTGTCCCATTAATCATCAAAAAGAACATTTCATGTTGTACCCTGAAGTACAGTGTTGTCAGTGACAGAATAATATCCATATGCCTACAAAAAAGACCAGTTAATATGACTATTATTCAAATTTATGTACCAACCACTAAGCCCAAAGATGAAGAAATTGAAGATTTTTATCAACATCTGCAGTCTGAAATTGACCAAACATGTAATTAAGATGTATTGATAATTACTGGTGACTGGAATATGAAAGATGGAAACAAAGAAGATGCTTCAGTAGTTGCAAAATATGGCCTTGGTGATAGAAATGATGCTGGAAATCACATGACAGAATTTTGCAAGGTCAACGACTTATTCATTGCAAATACCTTTTCCAACAACATAAATAGCAATTATACACATGCACCTCGCTAAATGGAATACACAGGAATCAAATCGACTATATCTATCAACTATATCTACAGAAAGAGGTGGTAGAGGAGCTCAATATCATCAGTGAAAAAAGGCTACAAGCTGACTGTAGAAAAGACCATCAACTGCTTATATGCAAGTTCAAGTTGAAGCCGAAGAAAATTAAAACAAGTCCATGAGAGCCAAAATACAACCTTGATTATATCCTACCTGAATTTAAGGACCAGATGAAGATCAGATTTGACACAATGAACACCGATGACCAAAGACCAGACAAGTTATGGGATGACATCAAGAACACATCATACATGAAGAAAGCAAATGGTCCTTAAAAAGACAGTAAAGGAAGAAAAGACCAAAATGGATGTCAGAAGAGACTCTGAAAATTACTCTTGAATGAAGAGTAGCTAAAGTGAATGGATGAAATGCTGAAATAAAGAGCTGAACAGAAGATTTCAAAGGGTGAAATGTCAAGAAGATAAAGTAAAGTATTATAATGAAATGTACAAAGACCTGGAGTAAGAAAACTAAAGTGAAATAACATGCTTGGCATTTCTCAAGCTGAACAAACTGAAGAAAAAATTCAAGCCTCAAATTGAATACTGAAGGAATCTATGGACAGATATTGAACAATGGAGGAAACATCAAAAGAAGATGGAAGGAATACTCAGAGTCACTGTACCAAAAAGAACTGGTTGATGTTCAACCATTTCAGGAAGTAGCATATGATCAAGAAGTAATGGTAGTGAAGGAAGAAGTCCAAGCTGCACTGAAGGAACGGGTGAAAAACAAGGCTCTAGGAATTGATGGAATACCCATTAAGATGTTTCAACAAACGGATGCAGCACTAGAGGTGCTCACTTGTTTATGCCAGGAAATTTGGAAGACAGCTACCTGGCCAACTGACTGAGAGAGCTCTATATTTACACCCATACCAAACAAAGGTTATACAACAGAATGCGGAAATCATTAAACACTATCATCAATATCACATGCAAGTAAAACTTTGCTGAAGATAATTAAAAAATGGTTGCAGCAGTATATTGACAGGAACTGCCAGAAATTCAAGCCAGATTCAGAAGAGGATATGAAAGAGGGATATCATTAGTGATGTCACATGGATCTTGAGTGAAAGCAAAAAATACTAGAAAGATGTTTACCTGTGTTTTATTGACTATGCAAAGGCATTTAATATAACAAATTATAGATATAACAGATTACAGACACAACAAATTATAAATAACACTGCAAAGAATGGGAATTCCAGAACACTTCATTGTGCTCATGAGGAACCTATACATAGACCAAGAGGCTGTTATCCAAACAGAGCAAGGGGATACTGCATGGTTTAAAATCAGAAAGTGTGTGTGTCAAGGCTGTATCCTTTCACCATACTTATTCAATCTGTGTGCTGAACAAATAATCTGAGTAGCTAGACTATATGAAGAATGCAGCATCAGGATTGGAGGAAGACTCATTAACAACCTACGATATGCAGATGACAGAACCTTGCTTGCTGAAAGTGAAAATGATGTGAAGCACTTATTGATGAAGATCAAAGACTACAGTCTTCAGTATGGATTACACTTCAGCATAAAGAAAACAAAAATCCTCACAAATGGACCAATAAGCAATATAATGATAAGTGGAGAAAAGACTGAAGTTGTCAAGGATTTAATTTTTCTTAGATCCACAATCAACACACTTGGAAGCAACATCAAGAAATCAGATGTCACATACAGTACTGCATTGTCAGTGAAGCAAACATGGGTATACAGGTAGATAGATGGGTGGACAGGCTGAACTATTTGGTATGTCTATGCAGCGAGAAGTGTACCAAAGACTACATATAGGGTTGGCAGACAATGGTTCTACAAGTGTATTTGTATGTTCTGTAAGAATTCCCGGATGTATAGTAGAGCCAACAAGGGACAAGGTTGTAGTCACTTCTTGGTCACAGCCTGCTACCCAGAGGGAGTGAGTAGTTGCACCTGTGGGCTCGAGACCATAGTTGTGGGGGACATCAAGTTCAATTGGCATAACATACTACACAAAACATCGTTCCACCTCCTACTTTGGCGAGTAGCGACCAGGATGTTAAAAGCTTGCAAGCAGCCTTCTAGATGCGACAACGGGTCTCTCCTCGTCCAGAGCAAAGAAGAATGAAGAAAACCCAAAGATTCATGGAAACAATTAGTCCTAGCAACTGGTACACTATGTGATCCACAGCCTATACGACTATGAAACCAGAAGAACTAGATGGTACCTGGATATCACGGTCAACAACTCAGAGAAGGATCTATGTAGGAGATGCTGGATAGAGAGGAAGAACAATGTGGAACAAAACTCAAAATCATTAAAAAAGAAAAAAAGGAGGGGAACCAGGTTTACTGGTCTGATAGAGCCTAGTGGAACCACCGAGACCATGGCCCCTAGCTGACCTTCAGGTCTGGAATTGAACCCACACCAGTGGCTTCCAGCCAAACAAAAAACAGGCATATGAGTTGACATTTACCTGAGGAAGATACACTCCTTGGAGAGAAGAATCATGGGAGAAAGAAGGCCTATTTATGTACAGGGAGACAGCTCAGGGGCAGAAATGCATGGACAGATGGACACAGGGAAGAGGTGACTATTATCGGGAGGAAGTGGGAGGGGAGCTGTTGCATTGTGGTAAATTGTAGTCAATGCATGAGACAAAGTGTATGTCAACTGCTGTGTGGAAGTTAATTTGCTCTGTAAACTTTCACCCAAATCACAATTTAAAAAAAAAAGAAATCAGATGTCAAATTTGGCAAGTCTGCTGCAAAAGACCTCTTTAAATTAGTAAAGAGCAAGGAAGTCACTAAGGTGCACCTAACTCCAGCCATGGTATTTTCAATTGCCTCATATGCACGTGGCTGCATTGGCGGGCTTGAGCATAGCAAGGATTGTGAGGATGGCTCAGGACTGGGTGGTATTTTCCTTCTGTTTTACATAGGGTCACTGTGAGTTATAACTGACTCAATAGCACCTAACAACAACAATAGTTCCTAACAACAACAACAACAACAAATGTATGTGAAAGCTGGACAATGGATAAGGAAGACTGAAGAAGAATCAATGCATTTGAATTGTGGTGTTAGTGAAAAACATGGAACGTACCATGCACTGCCAGAGAAACGAACAAATCTGTCCTAGAAGAAGTATAGCTGGAATGCTCCTTAGAAGCCAGAATGGCCTGACTTCGTCTCACCAACTTTGGTTATGTTGTCAGAACAGACCATTCCCTGGAGAAGGATATCATGCTTGGTGAAGTGGAGGGTCAGCAAAAGCAGGAAAGATCTTCAACGAGATGGACTGACACAGTGGCTATGATGATGGGCTCCAACCTAGCGAGGATTGGGAGGGTGGCCCAGGGCTGGGAGTGTCTCGTTCCACAGTACACACAGGGCTGCTATGCCTCAGGGTCAACTCCACGGCACCTAACTACAACAAACGCAACGTGGACACATTCCCCAGATATCTCCTCTGCCTGGGCCACTAAGTGCATCACTGCTGAAGAAGTAGGAGGAAGATGGAAGAGTATGTCCCCCAAGTTCTCAGGATGGGCAGCTCTTCCCTGCTGCTCTTCCCTCTCCCACTTTCTCAGGAAATCCAGAGGAAGAGATGAGCAAGGGAGCTAAGCAAGTGGCATGATCTTTAGCGTGGAGTGATCTTAGGTGAAGTGGAGATAACCAGTTGCCAGTGGAGTTGACTCTGAGTCATGGAGACCCCATGTGTGTCGGAGTAGGAATAACGGCCCTCAAATACAAGGTTGTGCTGTCTCAGTGGGCCGTGTGTCCCTCAAGATTACTTATTAAACCAGCAGCTTCAACACGGCCTAATACTGGCTCTTCCATATTACTCTCTCAGAGTTCCTTCAGTCTTGAAATACTATTTAATATTAATATGTTGATTATAATCATAAAACATACAGAAGCCAGGATTTATTAAGCACTATCCATGTGCCAGGCATGGTGCCAGCTCCTTGCTTTCACTACATTCATTTAATTCTCAAAATGACCTTGCAGACAGGTATGTTTAGCATCCTCCTCTCCTTTTTTTTTTTAAACAAATGAAAAAACTGAGCACAGAGAAGTTAAATAAATTGCCCAATGTCAAACTGCAAGTAAATGGCCAAATCAAGCTTCAAATCCATGTGAAGCTGATTCCAAAGCACACTTTTAACCATGGGCTTTCTTAGGTTGCTCTAGCCGTAAGAAGCATAATGCAGTAGTTAAGAGCACAGACCCTAGAACCAGCTGTCCAACTTAAACACTTACTAGCTGTGTGACAGTGAGCAAGCCATTTAACTTCTCTATGCCTCAGTTTTCTCATCTATTCAATGGGTTCTTATGAGGATTAAGTGAGTTAATTTGTAAAATAGTTAGAATGGTAACAAGCATT